CTGCAGACACCTGCCCCTCATCGCCTGTCTCGCCATAATTACCTCACTAGTTCCAAACACATCTGTCTAGTGCGCTCTGGAAATCCAGTGTCCATCCCAGGGCCCGACACATAACAGATGCTCGACAAGCCCTCATATAATGAGGAGAAACACATCACTCAGGTGCCGACTTCTGACGGTCAGAGAACCTTCCATGTACACACAGGGGTACTGGCATCCACAAGAGAGGAAGCTAGCCAGTGCCCACTGCTGCCCCAGAAACTTGGGGCCTGCACCCCTCATAATGTCAGGAGGGAGGACAGGGGCAAGAGGAGTCAGATCTGAGAAGCTGCCAGATAACTGACACACCCACCCCAATCTCTAACTTGAGGGACCTCACATTCCCCCAGGAAGGCCTGGGCTGGGCGCCTCTGTCCTTTGTCTTCTCACAGATCTGGCACAAAACTCTAGAAACAAGATCCCAGAGAGAGCTACCCAGCCCCAGTCTGACCAAAAAACAGTCAGGGTGCGGCTCTGAACCACCAAAGGTCCCTGGCCTGTGGAGATACCTGGCTCTGGTCCCCTGAACTGTCTCACCAGCCCCAAGGGTCCTGGGGATGAGGGGGACGGGACAGCATGGGGTCTGCCTCTGCTTTGGTCTCAGAGAGGCCCCCCTCCCCTAACAGGCACCTCACGGGATCCCTGAGTCCCATTTGGGAGCTGCTGCAAGGCCTGTCCTGTGGGGAGGACTAGCACGGATGACAGGGAGGGACACAGATGACCTTAGTGCAGGGGCAGAGTACCCAATAATCAAGGTAAGCATGGACTTACTTGTGCTTACTTACATCTCCAATGTGGTTAAAAAAATGTGAAACTATTGACTACAGATTAAGAAGTAAGCACAATAAACCAGTGCTCACCTTGCTTACCAGGTACTCAATCCGTGTCAGGGATGAAATTTTGAAAATAGGCTTTGATTCTGTAGGAGGGTTTTATACAGTTGGAAAAGAGATAGATGCCAGCCATACCTAAAAGTAGTATTCTGATATGAGGAAAAAATGTAAAATTGTTCACTACAGATTAGTAAGTAAGCACAAGTAAGTCAGTGCTTACCTTGCTTATTGGGTAATCCAACACTGCCTTAATGCAACACCCCAGTGTGGTGATGGAGGGAAACACAGCCATTGGGGGACCAGCCTCCCAGGCCAGCGCCCAGTCCCACAGCCTCAGACCCCTCAGTAGCCCTTCCTTTTTTTTTTTTTTTAATTTTTATTGTGATTTAGGTGAAAGTTTACAGAGCAGATTCATTTTCCATACAGCAGTTCATACACATTGTGTCTCATGACATTGACTGCAATTCCCCACAATGTAGCAGCTCTCTTCCCACTTCCTCCCTGTAGTTACCTCTTCCCTGTGTCCTTCCCTCCCATGCACTCCTGCCCCCTGAGCTGTCTCCCTGTGCAAACACTGCCTTTCTTTTCTCCCAGGACTGATCGACTGATCAACTGATCGACTGATTGCTCCAAGGAGCCTGGTGTAAATGTTCACCCCATATGCCTGTCTCTTATGTGGCTGAAAGCTACAGGAGTGAGTTCGGTTCCAGACCTGAAGGGTAAGTAGGGGCCATAGTCTCAGCGGTCTCACAGGCTGTATGAGACCAGCAATCCTGTTTTTTGTTTGTTTGTTTTGTTTTGTTTTTTATGATTTTGAGTTTTGTTCCACATTGTTCTCCCGCTCTATCCAGGATCTCCGGCACTGAGCCCCCTCTGAGTGGCTGACAGTGGTAGCCGAGCCCCTTCCTGTTAACACTGGGGGACAGAGAGCTCCTCATGGGCAGCACATCCACCTGGAGGACAGTCCTGCAGACACTGCAACCAGGGGTCCTCCGAACGCCTCACAGCGTCTCCCAGGCTCACCGTGCCCTGGGGTGGAGTCAGGCAAGCCCGGGACACACGGTGAACAGAACCCAGGGCTAACACAGCCTGGAGGTCACAGCCCCGCTCGGCCCAGGGTCAGGGCCAAGACACACCCTTCCGGAGCCTGGTCAGCATTCCTGATGCACCAGACATTGGCCTCAGGTCTCCTTGAGCCCTCTAGGCGGCGACATAATACAGGAAACAAATTTTTCCTCTGCGCCTTGGGCCTGGCTTTGGACTAAGGAAATAGAGATGGAACCTGATTTCCATCCTTTGCTCCAACAGACTCTTCTGTGTCCCTCCTATGTGTCAGCTTTGTCCTGCTGGGGCCCTGTGCTGTAGGGGGTCCCTGTTCAGCTCCTCTCTCCCTTTGGCCTCACGCATGGGAAAGGTGGGTGGCCACAGGAAAGCCAGCTGGGAAGAGGACTGAGGTTGCCCAAGATGGTCAGGGATAATGCAAACAGGTTCTGAGCCACAGCTTAGCCAGACAGACCCTAGAGAGAGAGGATCTCCAAAATCTTTCCCTGAGGACATGGAGCCCACAGCTCCCCCTTCATGGCCCTGAAACTATACCTCCATCCTGGACACCCAGATCCTATGTCTCTGTCCTTAAAACAAAGGCCAGGCTGTGACACCAGAGACAGAAGCATGGTGGCCTCATCCATCATCACTCAGCTTGGTCCCTTTAGCCATGTCTGGGCCCCTCTGGCAGGAAGCAAATCCAATCTCCCTCATGCAGTTGAGAACACAGGAAGGACCTGGGTGCAGCCGGGTTTCTGGTCAGAGAGGAAAATCACCCCTGGCTTAGGGCACCCCAGGGGCTCTCTATCTGGTGCTGGCAGACCCAAGAGCAGAAACAGCAGAGGCCAGTGCTGCTGTGGGTGGGCTGTCCTCTCAGGAAACAGTGGTCCCCACAGCCTTGCTATTCACACCATGGTCCACTGGCCCATATGACCAGCATCACCTAAGAGCCTGTCAGATGCACCCACAGGTCCACAGAGTCAGACTCTGCATTTAACAGCATCTCCAGACTATCTCAGAAGCTCTGGTGGTGCAGTGCTTAAGACATTCAGTTGCTAACCAAAAGGTTGGTGGTTCAAACCCACCAGCTGCTCCATGGGGAAAGATGAGGCAGTCTCCTTCAGTAAAGATTGACAGCCTGGGAAACCCTATGGGGCAGCTCTAATGTGTTCTCTCGGGTCGCTATGACTTGGAACCGACTCAGTGGCAGTGGGTTTGCTTTGTTTCGCTCAGACTATCTCCATGCACAGCAGAGGGTGAGAAGCCTGCCCCACCTCGCAGCTCACTGGTTCTCAGCCCAGCTGGGCACCATCGACATCACCTGTGCAGCTGCTGACGCAGCATCTCCAAGGCATCACCTGGACACCTGGCTACTTTATCAAGTCCCACGGGTGATTCTGATGTACAGCCAGGAGAAATC